TCCTTCCCTTTCCTCCCTCCCTCACACTGGCTGTGTGCCAGGCACTGGTGAGCCCCCAGGGACAGAGTCAGGAATCTTCTAGCTCCCACTCACACTGCCCTTCCTGAGAGCCCTGTTCAGCTGCTGCTCCAGAGAAGGATGAGGCTGTCTGCTCCCAGAAGGTTTCCAGTCTCGGAAACCCTGAGGAGCAGTTCTACTCTGTGACTCCTAACAGAGTCACCGGGAGTCAGAACCAACTCAATGGCAGTGGGTCTGGTTTTGGCTAGTGGTTCGTTTGTACACTATAAACCTAGACTGTTGATCTTTGGAGGGGCTTGAAGGGAAAGGTTCAATGATCTACCTCCCCAAATCAGCCACTGATAAACCCTATGGAGCACAGTTCTACTCTGACACACATGGGTCACCAGGACGCAGAATCGACTCACTGGCAACTGGTTCGGTTTTGGGTTATAATTTAGATTGTAAATAGAGATGAAAGAAGTAAAAAGACTCCACAGTAAACATCAGTATCAATGATGTTAAAGGTAGCGTTTGGCTGGGCAAAGTGTGCCTTCAAATACATTAATTATCTAAGAGGATATTTGATGATACAGGATTTGGCCTAATTAGTCACTCATAAAGGAGCTCTGGGAGCATAACCTCAGGGTCAGCAGTTCAAAACTACCAGCTGTTCCACGGGAGAAAGATGAGGCTTTGTGCTCCCATTAAGATTTACAGCCTCGGAAACCCTGCACAGGGTCGCTATGAGTTGGAACTGACTCCACGGCACATAACAACAACAACAACAATAATCCTATAGGGGCATTAGACACAGTTCTTTCAGGTAGAAGGGCATACATACTGAATTCTCATGGCTGTTTGTTGAGCTAGCAGTTGAACTTTAATACTGTCTGGTCCCTTGAATGCCCTTGTCCTCCCTCACATCTTAATCTTTCAGTCCTTTCATCAGTTAGGATGTGTACTTCAAAGTAGCAGGAACCGTGAACTTGGCAGCCTTTCATCAGATGACAGGTGGAGACACTGGCAAATGGGAACCTTGTGGTACTGTTTATTGTCACATGCCAACGTTAGAAGTTCTGCATTACTTGGTGAAGCAATGCTTTCCAAATGATATTGCAAAGTTAAACATAGCTAAAAATCCATTCTCTGTAAGAGACACCAGTTCATTTTAATGTCATAGTATCAAGAGTTTATTAATGTGGTTTGAGTCTTCATTTTAGCTAAGCTTTAAGAAACTACCATATGTCAGGTTTTGGTGTAGTATTAAAGAAATATATTCACAGTTACCTGAAATGGTATTCAAATCTTCCTTTTCTCTTTAATCCAAAAATGTCCCCTGACGTCTTAAAACCAAACTGTTACGCTTAACTAGAATGTCTGCCTGAGCACTCTGCTCTTTTATAAAGAACTGTGTGGGATCAGATTGACAACAGGAATTTGAAATGTTAAGTAGAACGCTATGGGGCAGTGAGTTTGTCAGTGGGAGAGGAGCAGTTCAGAGACTAAGGGTGAGAAGGGTGGACAACTCAGAGCCTGTCATCAGTGTTATTGAATGGACATGTACAAAGTGGACGGATGCTTTTCTGTGTCTTTTTTCAACAAAATAAAACTGTAAGCTTTCTTTTTAATTAAAAAAACAGAACAAAACAAAAGGAGCAGCTGAGCAAACATTCATTGGTAAGTAACAAAGGAGCAGAAAAATATTTACTTCAGGGTTTTAAGTGGATATAAAAAATAATATCGGTGTCAGTATCTTGGTGGTGGTGGTGGTTGTTGTTAAGTGCCGTCGAGTCGGTTCCGACCCATAGCGACCCTGTACAGGGTTTCCGAGGAGCAGCTGGTGAGCTTGAACTGCCGACCTTGCAGTTCAAATGGCTTTGCAATCTGGCACATTAACCCACAGTGGTGGTAGTGGGTGGTTATGTGCCATAGAATCAGTTCCGACTCATAGCGACCCTGTACAGAGTTTCTGAGGCTGTAAATCTTTACGGGAGCAGAACACCTCATCTTTCTCCTGTGGAACAGCTGGTATTTCGAACTGCTGACCTTGAGGTTCACAGCCCAATTGGTAATCACTACACTACCAGAGCTCCTTAGTTCCCTAAAATCTCACATTGTCACATGCTATCCCAACTTCAGCTCTGGTAGCGTAGTAGTTACCAATCGGGCTGCGAGCCGCAAGGTCAGCAGTTTGAAACTACCAACTGTTCCACAGAAGAAAGATGAGGCTTTCTGCTCCCGTAAAGATTTACAGCCTTGGAAACCCTGTACAGGGTCGCTATGGGTCAGAACCGACTCCACGGCACATAACAACAACAACAACAACATCCCTACTTGACAAGTTGCCACTTTTTGAAATGAAATGGCATGTCTTCACCCTTGTCGCCTGGTCAACTAAAGTGTTAAAAAGTGATCATTATGTTTAAAACGATAATGAATTCTACTTTTCATTGTGTATTTCAGGTTAAATTTCTTGAGCCCTCAATACTTATTAAGCCTTATACTCTGTTTGTTCTTTTGTTTCTCAAGCCACTACCAAAAAACATGGTGTCCCGCCTGTGTGAATCTAAAAAAGTTTGTGCAGCAGCTGATATGCAACTTCAGGTACGTATGGACCTTTGTTCTGATGTTTTCCAGAGTCATTATCCAAGATAAACATGTAACTTTAGATTCTGAGCCGCGCTACACGTCTATTATAATAATTATACTTCTAAAACATCTTTCATCTCAGTTCAAAGAACTGGAGCCAACTCGACTCATTCAGTACTCACAGTGTCCTTACAGAGAGGGTGTTAAGATGCTCTCCATTTTCAGTCAAGACAGTCAAAGCTTGGAGAACTTACAGGGTTTCTTTTACATCATCTGCTCATCACTTGGGCTAGGACTTAAAACCAACTATGGATCATTTTTATTCATTGTTTGCCTTTTTAAGATTTGTTTTTAGCACTGCGGTTTAAACAGTAACAACTATTATTTTTAGTTAATATTCAAAGCCAAGTTTTCTGGTTTCTCACTAAAGAGTAAAAAGGTTTTTAGAACCATCTGGCTATCATTTCTACAGGGTAGCAGGTGTTGAGGCATTGGTAATTGTGGAGTTTGTGTATGGCGTCCAGAACCTTCATGAACTCTTCAGAGTCAACATAGACTAAGCATCCATCTTTCATCTTAGGTAGTATCCACATTATGAAGACATTGTTGTTGTCAAGTTGCCATTGAGTCGGTCCTGACTCATAATGACTCTGTTTAGGGGTTTCCGATGAGTGACTGGTGGGTTCAAACAGTTGACCTTGCACTTCAAACCAACCTTGTGGTCAAGTGCTGATCCTACAGTGCCACACGAGGAACCTCTTATAATGATGTTGTTGTTAAGTACCATCGAGTTGGTTCCAACTCATAGCGACCCTGTATAGGGTCTCCAAGGAGCAGCTGGTGGGTTTGAACTGCCGACCTTGTGGTTCACAATCCAGTGCTAATCCTACAGCACACCTCGGGACTCTCGTAATGATACAATCTCCTATTTCCAAGTTTTAGTTTTGCAAAAAATTCATTCCCTAGAAAGTCTTTTGAAAATATACTTTATACCTTATAAAAATTTTTTCACTAAAGAAAGTGCCTAATCTAGACAAACCCATGAATTTACATTTTATTTACGTTAACCACTCTCTGTTCATAGCACTATAATTAAAAGCAAAGGGCAAACAACCATTTGAGGATTTAAAAAAAATTATTTTTTTAAAATGAGCATTACTTGGCAAGAGTCTGTCCACTTGCTAGTCTCTGCAGTAGGCATCTTGCCCCCCACCCGCCTTTGCTTTTGATATATACTGCCTGGCTGTAGCTTGCTACCACACAGGCAGATGGCTTACCTGATGGCCTGCCTGGCTGTAGCTTGCTACCACACAGGCAGATGGCCTACCTGATGGCCTACCTGAAGAAACGAGACTCTTCCATGTTGATTTTGATTACAGACTGGGACAAAACACTCCTCACCTTAGCTGAGGTTAGAATTTGAACACTTTAACTCCTAATAATCTACTCTGGTTAGGGTAAAAATGACCCAGATGAGTCAGTTTTGCTTTTCGGATGATTGTTTTCCATTGTTACTCGTTACAGAATGTAGGGCCGAGAGAACGGCGTTCAGCTATATGTTTAGATGACAAGTTTTACAGTAAAGTGGTATTTATGTGAAAGAAGTGGCTGTATGTTCCCCTTGGGAGGTTTAAGGTTGAGTTTGTAATTTAGAACCATCATTCTCTATCTAGATGAAGCCGAAAGCTGGAGGTCATTGAAATACTTTCTTTTATTCAAACGAATCCTCCCTTCTTTCAAGTCAGCAGCTGCAAGTTCCCCACAAATTCCCTGTCTCAATCAGAAAGATACGTATGGGAAGCATACATGCCTGTCAGCATTTTCGTTTGAAAGAAAGCACTGTCTACCTTCTTCCAATCAATGAACTCCACACAGTGTTCATAGTTCAAATCAGATGTGGAACGTGGAAAAGCACATTCATCTTTACACACAAAATTGAGTTCTCAGCGCTTAATGAGCAGCAACATTTACATTCAGACTTCTAGCACTGTTTGCTTCCCCTATTAGGTTCCAGTGGCCTGTAGTCCAGGGAACTGTGTCTCTGGCCACTTTCTCCAGCTAGTCTCTCCCCTGTCCAGCAGCTGCTTCTGAAGACCAGGTGCTGGGGTCTGACTTGGCCGTAACTCCAGGAACACTAACAGCTGCCTCCGAATCCTTCCTGCCAGATGCTCAGTTGTTACTCCTTTCTCTCCCTTCGCTTTGCTGTATTCACTTAGTCTCATCACAGAACTAGGGTATCTATAGCTGACATTTCATTCCTATCACTCAGGTAACATCAGGATTCCAGGAGGAAATCAAACAATTTGCTAGGTCCCAAGGGGTCACACCTTGTAACTCAGTGTTTTGTCCCTGAGCTTCAGAAAGTGTGTAGAAGAATGGAATTACAGGAGAATGGAATTTTCCCACCAACTTTTTGAAGCCTCCTCGTGTATATTGGCAAAATTCCGGTCTTCTAGGTTAAAATTCAATTTCCTATATTGCATGCAAAAAGAATCCACCTTATGGATAAGGTTCAAAATTCACTGGTGTCCTTAACCATGAAACGGTTGGGAGCATGCCTTTTCATCATTGTTGTTATTACTGTAAAGTGCCGTTGAGTAGGTTCCACCCCATAGTGACCCTGTGTAGGGTTTCCAAAGATGGCCTGGTGAGTTTGAACAGCTGACCTTGCAGTTCAAACGGACTTTGCAGTCCAGCGCATTAACCCACAGCGCCATACCAGGCAAAGTCTTAAATGTGGTCTGCACTCTGTCTCCAGCTGCATACAATTCTATCTGGATGTTTTGAGCTGATTTAGAACGATTATGCTGGGACACTTCTAAGGTCTTTGGTTGACTGCATACTGCCTCTGAGAACAAGATACCACAAGTAAGCAGGTGTTTTCCTTGCCTAGGTCTTCTACGCCATTCTGGATCAGATCTACCATGGGAAGCATCCCCTGAGGAAGTCGACCACAGACATTCTTCAGGAAACTCAGGAGAAGTTTTATGGGCTGCCCTACGTTCCCAACACTGTGAGTCCACCGTTTGAATCCTGTTGCCTACAGGCTTCAGTAGTTCTGTTCATATCTCTGTGGCAGCAGGTAGGCTATGGTCAGCCTCTTCGTGGGAGAATGTGAAATGTGTACATTCAAAGTTTCATATCTAGGGTATGAAAAACCCTGCTTCCATCGGGTTGATTCCGATTCATAGTAATCTTATACAAGGTTTCCAAGACTGTAAATCTTTACAGGCACTGACAGCCTCGTCTTACTCCCACAGAGCGGTTAGTGGTTTTGAACTGCTGACCTTGAAGTTAATAGCCCAACCCACAGCGCCACCAGTCTCCTTAACTTGGGGCAAGTGCTAGAAATTGCCCGGCTTACTTAATGCCTGTTTGTTGTTAAGTGCCGTGGAGTTGGTTCCGACCCATAGTGACCCTGTACAGGGTTTCCGAGGCTGTAAATCTGTACGGGAACAGAAAGCCTCATCTTTCTCCCGCGGAACAGCTGGTAGTTTCGAACTGCTAACTTAAGGTTCGCAGCCTGATTCATAACCACTAAGCTGTAAACAGCCATTTATATGCTGTTTTGTTCCCTTGGCGAGGTGTTTTTTTCTAGATTTCTGGGAGAGTGATGGTGGCAAATGGCAAGTGGCATTGGTCTGGACCTTCTGTTTCTAGAGTGAGCAAGGGTGGCTGTCATGTGAGATGAAGGTGATTGTCGGGGTCTCAGCTCTCATTGCAGTGAGCACCTTCCTGTGTGCCAGGGATCGTAGCCGATACTCCCCATGTCCTGTGTCATTTAGTCTCCGACAGCGGGGCCCAGCAGTGGTGTCCGCATCTGTCAGTGTGCGGCACGTACCAGAACATCTGTCTGGTAGCATTGCAAAATGACATGATTTAACTCTTCAAACAGTACTTGAAATGAGAGAATATCCCGATATTTGGGGCCGAATGCCTGAGAGCGTGGCATAAATGATGACACCCTTGCCTACTAGCCCAGAGGTTGGTGGTTTGAACTCACCCTGAGGCACCTCAGAAGACAGACATGGTACTGTGCTCCTGAAAGGTCATAGTGTGAAGACTCTGGAGTGGTTCTGTCCTGCAAACATTGCTCTGGGCTTGGGATCCACTAGGTGGCAGCTAACGATGAAGGGCACTGACATAGTGAGTGATTGTGTTGGGATCCAAAACCAACTGATAAAGACAACGTTGCTCTGTATGTTCTCAGTGCTCCTATAAGGAAGCTGGGAGAGTGGAGAGTACCATAGTTTTATGCAAATAAGACTTGCCTTCTGGGTTTGTTTGCCACCTGCCTTCTCTTCCTCTCCCCACTTGAGGGGTTTTCCTAAGTGTGCTGTGGTCATTTTGTTTCACTGCCACGTTTCTAGAAAGTTGGCAGAATAGTACTTAAGAAAATGCCTCTTGGGGAAGGGCGCATTTGGCTTACAAATGTAGGCGGTGCGCATTATTTGCGTAAAAATACTGTTGGCTGCTGCAGTGAGCATCTGCCTGACTCTTTTATACTATACTGTACTTTTTCTGTTCCAAGTGATAGAAACCCACCTCTTACTACTGTCTTTAAGCACTAAGGTTGTTTATTGAGTCTCATCACCGAAAAGTCCTGGGTTTTGTGTGGCTTCAAGTAAGTTGAATCATGATCTTAGACAATATTGTGAGAAATCTCTCTCTTCTTGCATTTCTCAGCTCTATTTTTTTACCCCCTGGGTGAGTCTCATTCTCAGACAGACCTCCCCCAACTTGGTGGCATGAGGACTGCCAGTTGGTTCAGGTTTAGGTCCTTGTCACTGAGCCGAAAGAAAGAGAACTCACCTTGAAAGCTTTGTGTCCCCTGGGAAATGCAGAGTACACGTGTAAAGGGTCCTGTGGTTCGAACACCAGAACGTGCTGTGCAGAGGTAGGCTCTGCCAGTCAGCAAACTCAGACATGCGTGGGCAGAGCTCAGACCTCGCAGAGCAGTGAAGTAACAGGGCGTTTGGTCTCCATGTTGTCCCAGGCTCCTGTTGTCCCAGAAGCAAGACCATCTGTACCTGTGTTAGTACTAGTCACACTAGCCTACACAGCTTGACCTTGCCTGTAATGTATTGCTTACTACTGGTCATGAGTGAGCATTATTGACGATCATGTCCAGAAGAAGGAATTCATGGGTGGGGAAAAAACGTGGAACAAAATGTTATAGAAGAGACTGTACTTGTCAGAACGACCGAAGGAACCCGAGACTGTGGCCCTCAGCCACCCTTCAGGCCTGGACCAGAACTCCCCTTGTGGCCCAGTTTTCAGCCAAGCAGGTCTATAGCGGGAACAACAGCCTACCAGTGAGGTCTGCTCACATGGAATGGGCCATCATTCAAGATTGAAAGGGCAGCCTTCACCGAAGGAGTCAGGATTTGGGAGAGAGCGTGTAATAGGAGTAAGAGGCACAGAGAGGAGGTGGGATCAGTGATGTTGCATGGAGGGGACCACAGTCACTGACTGTAGAGATGGTGAGCTCTCTAAACCTTCATTCAATTCACAAAAAAAAGTTACAGAAAGAAGAAGAAAAGACTATAATGGCTCATCTCTGGAGAAAATTACAGTCGCCAGAACTTAGCCAGGTTCTGATAAAGCTGCCCTGGTGGCACAGTGGGCTGAGTGCTGAGTGAGCCAAAACAGCAGCAGTTTGAACCACAGCCACTTGGAGGGAGAAAGACTTGGCAGTCTCCTTCCGTAAACACTTACAGCCTTGGAAGCCCTAGGGGGGAGCTCTCCTCTGTCCCACGGGGTCTCTGTGAGTCAGAGTCAACTCAGTGGCAGCAGATTTTTGTTTTGTTTTTTTAATTGGTGGCTTAGTAGTTAAGTGCTTGGTTGCTGACTGAGAGATTAGCAGTTTGAATCCGCCCACAGGCTTCGTGGGAGAAAGGCCTAGAGGTCTGCTGTCATAAAGATGCTCAAAGCAAACCTGATGGTACATTTCTGCTGTTACCTAGGGTTGCTATGAGTCAAAACTGGCTTCAACAATAGCTTTTTCTTTCTAATAGCTTTATCTCTTAAAAGCGTTGTCATAGTCACGCTTGTATGGTTTTGCGCACATGCTATATCCCACTTGGCTGCTTTGTTTGGTTTTTAGGTGGGTGTGCCTTAACTGCACGTCCAAGGGGGCTTCAGAAAGTTCATGGAAGGATGGCATTCAAAGATCCTGGAATTCTTCTACAAACTTTCTGAAAACCCCTCCTGCTTGTAGCATGACTGGTAAATACTAAAGTTATAGAAGATCAAAATGAAGAGAAACTGGGATGCTTCCCAAACCTGCCGACTTCAGCTTGGCTGAGTTTCTGGCCCTGCCTTTTTTTATCATTCATGTCACAGCATGCAGCAGAATTTCTGTTCACTCTCTGGCTGTACAGCCATTGTATGGCTATGCCATGTGTTGTTTATCGTTCAGCTGTTGATGGGCACTTGGGTTGCCTCCGCCCCTTGGCTATTGTGAGCAGTACTTCTGTGAACATTGGTGTGCATCTGTCCGTCTGTGCACCCGTTTTCACGTCTTTTGGGTCCATACCTAGGAATGGAATTGCTGGGTCATTGCGTGATTCTGTTTCACTTTTTGAGGAATTTCCACAGAGGCTACTTCATTTACATGCCCACTCGTAATGTGGGTGCAGAGTCCTGGTGTGTGGCACTATAGGATAAGCACTGAACTGCAAGTTCAATTTGAACTTCAAGGTTAGTGGTTCAAACCCACCTGCCACTCCTCTGAAACCCTCCCTATATGATGTCACTATGAGTTGGAACCAATGGATGGCAATTAACAAAAACAACAACTAGTAATGCAGACTTGTAGATTGGACTCCAGTACGCCTCAGTTTTCTGATGGGACTTATCTTTCGGATACCTTCTACAATATGGATGAACCTTGACAACATAATGCTGAGTGTGAAGTAAGTCAGACATGAACAGATATTAGACAAGCTCACTTAATCTCTAATAGGCATAACAACCCTAAATACAACAGAACGAAATGCTGCCCAATCCTGGGCCAACCTCACAATAATCTCTACTGCCGTTGCAGCTCCCACTGTGACACTCCATCTTGTGGGGGGGTCTTCTTTTCTTTCTCCAACCTTCCACTTTCCCAAGCATGATTTCTTACTGTCACAAAGGGTAGATGGGGTTGAGGGGAGCTTGCTTCTTAAGAAACACTGAGTTTAAGTGAAAGGTGATGAGAACATTTAGAAATGTTGAGAACCTTGTTTTCTAATTCCCGTAGGGAGGCCTCGTACCGGAAATAGAGGAAAGGGGGGCATTGTGTGCCATTTGGCTCCTGCATTTGGCCTCACCTTGCATGGCATCTTCTTCTATTCAGTCTACACAAGCACGGAGCCATAGGGTCACACCACAGACTTAGCAGTGGTCGGACTCTGGGAGATGGTTTATGAAAGGAGGCGGGTGGGTTGGATAGGCCGGATAGAAGAGTGGTTAAGAAACCCAGGTAGACCCTCAGTCCGATTTACATGGTGGCTGAAAGGATGGGCAGTGTTGATAAGGGACAGCCGAATGGGGAAGGATCCGCTCACACTGCCTGGGTTGATGGAGATGACGTTCGGTGAAGCAGGGAACACAGGTGGGGTGGGAGACTTGTTGAGATGACTATAGACTCTAGAACATGGAAATGTCTGCTTGTAGCTGTGGGATGAATGGCGTAAGTCTCAGAAAGTCCTTCAAGGATGGAGGAAGTCAGGTCTGGGAGGCAGTCTCCACGACTGACCCAGAAGCAGGTGCTGAGTGAGATGAGGCAAAGTCTGGGAGCAGTCCAGAGGGCCACTGAAGCAAGACGGGGAAAAGGGGCACGTGTCGGATCAGCCCGTATGTATGGGCATCTGCTCACTTGTTATGAAGTGCCGTCAAGTCGATTCCGACCATAACGACCCTGTGTAGGGTTTCCAAGGAGCAGCTGGTGAGCCTGAATCCAGGACATCGCAGTTCAAATGACTTTGCGGTCTGATGCATTAGTCCACAGCGCCACACCAGGACTCC